AACCGCCATATCTGCATATATAAAAGTTTGTGATACAATGCTGGGATTAAGCAAAAGCATTCTCTAGCACAATTTTCACTTAATTATATGGGTCATATGGCTCTGTGAGTACATTAAATAGCCACAATGTTAGGCCTTGGACTGTACAGTACCTATACAGTACAAGTTAGGCAACCTGTATAGTGCAAGCTAGGCAATACTTCTGTCAGGTGGACTTATAATTGGTTGACTGACCAAACCCAAAGGGTGTTCTTCAATAGTTTGCCTTCGCCCTGGGGAGAAGTGAGTAGTGCAGTATCATATGGTTTTGTGCAGTATCATATGGTTCAGTGCTATTCAACATCTTTATCAATGAATTGGATGATAGAATAGCAGATATGCTTATCTAATTTGCAAATGATACCAAATTAGGAGGGGTAGTTATTAATACCCCAGGAGACAGGATCAGAAACAAAAATGGCCTTAACAGATTGGAGAACTGGACCAAAATTAACAAAATGAATTCCAATAGGGAAATATGTAAGGTCATAAACTTAGAAAAACCAAATTGCACAGACATAAGCTGAAAAACACCTGGCTCGACAACAGTACATCTGAAAGGCATCTAGGAGTCTTCGCAGACCACAAGTTAAACATGAATCAACAATGTAGTGCAGTAGCTAAGAAAGCTGATGCAACTATAGGATGCAACAATAAGAGTTCAGTGTCTATGTATGGGAAAATAATAGTACCACTCTATTCTACTTTGGTCAAACCTCACCTGGAAAACTGTATCCAGTTAGTACTTCAGGAAGGATATAGGCAAGCTGGAATGTCTCCAGAGAAGGACCCATTCCAGAGAAAGTGCACTAATCATACCCTACGAGCAAAAGTTTAGGGAGCTGTGAATTTTTATATTGGAGAAGATAAAATTAAAAAGGGACTTGAGAGCCATGTTTAAATGTTTGTAAGAATGGAGTATTGAAGATGAAGTCAACTTGTTTTCTTCTAATCCAGAGACTAGAAAACAGAGCAATTGATCAAAACTACAGAAAAAGAGATTCCATTTAAGTATTAGGAGGAAATATTGGGAACTTAAGAGGTGTTTGATAATGGAATATGCTGCCTCAAAGTCTTATTCTATGGTAGTTTTTAAGCAGCAGCTGAATGGCATGTTCCTGTGTTGCAATATGGAGTTGGACTTGATGGCTTTTGTGGTCTCTTCCAACTCTATCATTCCAAACTGATGGCATTTAGAGACAGCCTGTCCAATACGATTTTCCACGAATGCTTTGCTGGACCATTTCAGATAGCAGTTTTTGGACCTTTTGTCTGAATACTTTTCAGTGAGAAAAGAAATGAAAATGCCATAACCCTTCAGTGAACATAAAAGCTAACCAAAAGTTGAACATCTATAGCCTAGTGCCTGACGCCATAGTTCTCTATGGAAGGAGAGATTTCCCCCTGAGATGAAATATTCAAATACAAACACCTGGAAACCAATGTAAGTATATGAACTCAATATTTCAAAATATTTCTTTATAAATAAAAATATCCCTATAACCATTTGGCATATGCCAAATATGACAAGTTTAATACTTTGTTTCATTACTCTTTAAAGAACTCTTACAGTTACATTTTAATGAATAATTTTGTACAGCTTAATTTGCATTGTTTTTAAAAATATGTTCTTCTTGATTCCCATTACTGTGAAAAATGAAGGACATACATGGACATATAAATAAATAAATAAATGTGCCTCTTCCCCCCATTACTAACATACATACACATGTTTTAACGGATGTATATTACAAAAAATGTGAGTTTCAATATCATTTGATTCAATGGCGTTATATCTGTGTTATTCATAAAGAACATTAAGATTGCAGGGTTTTATCTATGTTTGCATGAATTTTTATTAATATAGCAGAATGAATTGTGATACAAATGAACAACAACAAAAGATCTAACAGGGTGCATGCTCCAGTTCTAGAATTAATTGCGAAAACTGTCCAAAATGAACCAGATTTCAGGAAAAGCTGACTATTGAGCAGAGCCAAGAACTGAAAGGCCAGAATGGAAGAGTAATGCATTTCCCTCAAGAGGAAGTTAAACTTTTTCCACAGAATGTGTACAAGCTAAATGTTGTGTGCCATTTTCCTTAGAACAGGGAGCATTAATCCAGGATCCCTAATATGGCTTCTTAAACATTTTACATCCAATCTTGTGAGTGGAAGTGGAGCATCTAAGATTTTTTTTCCTCTTCAAAAAGAAAACACAATATATGATGCTCAAAATAAATATTTAAAAGCCCCCAGCTGTTACAAAGACTATTCTGAATTTCCAGAGAACCTTGGATCAGCAGCAGTGTTTGGATTTCTAATCACTTTAACAAAACATACTAATTAAAAGGCCTATCCATAGGGAGTTCTTCAAGATACTGTTCATTTTTTGTGTTGCAGCAGATGCCAAGAAGACACCCAGTGATGAAAATTGCTGCAGCAGAAGAGCAAAGAGGGAGTGATAGCCAACTGTGTGCTCGGTAGCACATGCTTAAACTTAGACCTTTTTGGGTCTCATTTCCCAATGGGATGATTCCTTAAGGAATTATCTAGCACAAAAAATGGATGGAAGATAACATCACATCTGTTGATCTGGACTCCAAACTGTTTATAAAGAGCAGCAACAGATGCCTATGTAAAGAAGGTCAAGGGAGAAATGGTGATTGGGAGTTTTGAGAGATTTGATATTCCTCTAGAAAACTATGATAAATCAAATCTTGAAAGGTTTACACAATCCACTGTGGATGGCTCCTGAAAAAGTCTAATGGCTGTGATATATGAATGCAAACTGTGGTTGGAACCTGTGCCAGGGAACAAACATTGTGAGGCTGACCTCAGTCAGAAAAGATTGATCTTACTCTCATCTAGAATGATGATTCTAGTTTAGACTCAAGTACTAGGACTTACTGAATGCCAGATTAATGGATAACATCAGTTTAAGCCTCTGAAAAATTCTGATTAGCATTGCCAGATCTGAGGAACTGATTCTCATTTTCAAGTTTCCATGGATAACTTCTAGGGACAAGACTGATGAAGAATATTTTCAGTTTGAGGAGTTCATGTGTTGGCAAGAAGAAAGGAGAGTGCACAAATCTCCATTTCAGCTAATAAACCAGAATCGTACAATTGTTTTTGCAGTTTGCAAAGACTCTCCAGAGGACATATATATTACTTAGCTCTCTCCTCCTCCAATCTTAGTTGAAGTGATGACAGTGCTCCTCTATACCACATTCTAGCTGGAAGTAAACAGGGTTTGTTAAATGTTATTTATCTCATCTACCTAAGTCGGTGAGAAGGAATAACTCACTCATATCATCATACCATAATGCTTAATGGCTTCACCAAAGATATCTCTATGTTTAACGGAAAATGATACTGGATTGTGGTTTAAACGATGAGACGTCGAGATTGGCTTTTTGTATTTTGATATTGTTGATGTTTTTGATGATGATGTTTTTGGTTATTGCTAGATTGATATTTTAGATTGTGTCTTGAATTTTGCACCTTGTCCTTTCTATGTTGTACACCGCTGTGAGTTGCCCCCGGGCTGAGAAAAGCGGTATATAAGCAAAGTAAATAAATAAATAAATAAATAAATAAATAAATCTACACTGACCGATATCTCAGGATCTGATCTCAGCTTATATGCCATTGATCAGCATGATGTTTGATAGAACTCCAGATCAACTCCAGGCCATGACTATAGCCAGAGAAAATAATGCAAACATCAAGGGCCAGCCTGAGAAAGTACTGATAATCTGGAACTAGCCTGATAAGAGACTGATAATGAGAACCCATTCAAACTGATTTAGATGACGGCAAAACAAATTCTCATGAACTGAAGGGAGTTCCAAGAGGTAGTAAAATAAGAAATTTCCCCCATGCTTTTTATTCACAGCTTTTCTTCCCGTGATGCAAGTAACCAGACATTAAAAGTGAATTCCAAGATATTCTTGTGAGTGACTCTAATTTGTCAGAAAGGTTTTGCAAGCCAACACATTATCTTCTTATCCCATTTTTTTCTAGCAGTGTAGACTCATATAATCCAGTTCAAAGCAGATAATCTAGGATCAGATCATGGTGTATAGAGCACTGTAGATTCAGCCTGGGTCTCAAGCTTTAGCCCAGAAACCCCAAAAGCAAGGGACAACACCAAAATGGCAATCCTACCATCTCATCAGAAGGGATTCTCCCCATGCTAGTGCACTACCGGCATGTTGCCAGGACAGAGTCTGCTGAAGTCCATCATATGACACAGGGCTATTTCTGGTGGGGTTCTACTGGGCTCCATCCTGGCAGCATCCTAGCAGGACACTAAAAGGGAGCTCTAAGGATATGGGTGACTACCCATGTCTTCACTGAAGAAGCCAGGGACACTCAGAAATTGTTGTGGAATGGTAGCCCACAACCAAAGAGGGTAAGGAGACAAAGCTGAGTGCTGCCCCATGGTTTTCCCCACTCTGCCAAGGCTTCTGGACCTCCATGAGATGAACTCCCTAATCAGATTAGACTGACAGCAGTCTCATGACTGACCCTCTATAGAACAAGCCAGCAATTTTCAAAATCCACTGCAATAGTACAATATTGTAAATGACAAATTGCAAGAGAAAACAAACCTGGCTTTAGGCACCCACCCGAAAACTACATTTGTCAAAGGTAACAGCAGCAGCAGTTTGTAAAGAAGTTTAAATTAAAGACAGACTCTAGAAAGTCTGGTGAAAATATGGGAGCAGAAATGAAACCTCTTATTTTCTCACTTCTGCTCTGCTTGTCTGTAGAAAGATAGAATGTTAACAGTATGCACAGAGCAAAGCCTTCTGTTGAACATCACCCAGACACCAATTCCAGTCTGGAATACTTAATATCTCTGCCCACCACAGCAACCTTAGCAGAATGGCAAGGCTACAATCAGAATGCACAAAAAGCTGTTGTAATAGCTGTGAAAAGAAAGACATTTACCATCAAGATCATTCTCTGGAGTTTCTGCAGTATACCAATCTGAGGAGGGTCCTGTTCCATTGACTGTCATAGCTGCTACTTGGAAACTGTATTGGCTTCCTTTGTCAAGACCTATTAGCAATACAAACAAATACAAAGGGTGAAAGTCAGATTTTTTCATAACTCGAGGACTGCCAGTATTTCTATTTTATGGATATACTGTCTCCTTTTACTATTTTTGACTTGATAACTGAGACCAGAGAATACATGGCATGATTCAAATTCAGGCATGGGCAAACTTCAGCCCTCCAAGTGTTTTGGACTTCAACTCCCACAATTCCAAACAGCCTATCGGCTGTTAGGAATTGTGGGAGTTGAAATCCAAAACACCCGGAAGGCTGAAGTTTGCCCATGCCTGCTCTAGTTCAAGTGCAGGGGACTGGTTGCCCTCCGGGTATTATAGGATAGCCTTAGCCAGCATGTTCAATGACAAAGAATGATGGGGGATGATGGGAGATACTGCCTACCAGTACCTGGGGGAACACAAGAGTCCCAATCTTCCAGTAGTCAACACTGCCTCAGGCCGCATCAATATTGCCCTATATCCCAGGATCTGACCCCAGATTATCTGTTTATCCTAGATTATCTGACAGTGTAGACTCATATAATCCAGTTCAAAGTGTATAATGTGGGATCAAATCCCGGGATATAGGGCAGTGTACATCCAGCTTCAGATTCTGAAAAGTAAGCTAACACATTTGGGTTTTGTAAAAAGGAATATTGTAATCCACCAGTTTCAGCATGAAAAATTAATACGTTCAGAAAGAATATCCGGAAATAAATTATGTGATGTTTCTGGAGTACTGTGAAATCCTGATCAGATCAATCATAAAATGGTGAGGATCTTTACAGTTAAAAACTTATTCTATATGAAATATATATATGATTTGTATGTGTGTGTACGGGCCAATTTCTACACAAAATCTCAACTACTGTATTTTATCATATAGTAGTTGCCGCCATGTAATAGTTGCACTCTATCCCCCCCCCCCATTGATATGTCTGATTTTGTTTTTCAAGTAATAGTCGCAGTCTTGTTTGATCACCCCAAAGTACCCATTTCATTCACACTTTGCTCAACTGAGTGAGGTGGCATAGCTCAAAAGGGGGTGGCAAGTGAAGCCCTATAGCTCGGGGATGGGATGGGCATGTGGGTAAGTGAAGCTTCAGTAGCCAGTGTGCCTGCCCCATTTCCAGCTATGGGGCTTCAGTCCTGTGAAGTTGTGTAACTGGGTTTTTTTTCCACTGTGCAATAGCTGGACCCTCCTTTCTTCACTCACCAAAAATTGGGTAAAAAGTGTGACCATTATGTGATGAAATACAGTACATTTCTGCACCAAATAACTATAAAACAGTTTTCAAAAATTGTACAGAGAATGCTGTTTTCTACACACACACACAAATCCAAAGAATTTTCTTTTTGCTTTTTCATTTGCATAGAATGAGTTTGGAACTATAAATTTGAAAAGGCAGTTTAATGTGACTTTCCTACAGTTAGGGGGAAATCATGAAATCATTTCATCTTGCCTGTGAAGATGAAATGAATAAAGATTTACATTGCTAATTCCTAATAGGAGGGCTCACAGAGAATTCAAAATAGCGTGTGAACACTGGAACAGCAAATGTGTTCTCTGTGTGCTTCAGTTCTATTACAAAAGGATCATGCTGAGGCTGCTTGGGTTTTGCACCAGGCCTTTGTTCCTTGCATCAGTAATATATGTGTATCATTTTGTTTATCTTGATACTGACCACAAAGCATAAAGATAAACAGCCACATTTAATTGCCAAGATCCTCTGGGGGAGGATGTTTAAAATTAAAAAAACAACACTTTTAAATTTTAGCTGATGGTGGATCTTACAATAAAACCAATAGCCGTGATTTAAAGTCTATTTTGTAATTCTGAATTACTTTGCCATTGGAACTGTCCTCATTAGTGGGCAGAAACACCTGCCTTCACCAGCAGAAGCTTTTAAGGAGACATAAAATCTTGCTGCTTGAATATTTATATCATCTCTTTAAAAGCGACATGATTTCCAGCTCTTCTAGGAATCTTGTAATACGCAAGTAAACAATGGCAATGAGATATGTGTTTGTTTCCGTTCCATTTGGCCTGTTTAAATATGAATTTCTACAGCCTTTCTCAAATGCTATCATGCTATCAACTTTATATGTGAGCTGACAAACAACAACAGCCCCTCTTCTTTTATTTGTTTGCATCACATTCAATCTACATTTCCAAAGACTGATGACCCAACAACCTTTGAAAAAAATCAAACCTCAATGTATCATCAAATATGAGGGGGGGAAAAACCTACAAAATGAAGAATTTGTTGTTTGTTCGTTCAGTCGCTTTGAACTCTTCATGATCTCATGGACAACCCCACACCAGAGCTCCCTGTTGGCCATCACCTCCCCCAGCTCCTTCAGAGTCAAGCCAGTCACTTCAAAGATGCCATCCATCCATCTTGCCCTTGGTCGGCCCCTCTTCCTTTTTCCTTCCACTTTCTCCAGCATAATTGTCTTCTCTAAGCTTCCCTTTCCTCTCATGATGTGGCAAAGAACTTCATCTTTGCCTCTACTATCCTTCCCTCCAATGAGCAGTCAGGCTTTATTTCCTGAAGTATGGACTGGTTGGATCTTCTCGCTGTCCAAGGCACTCTCAGAACTTTCTTCCAGCACTACAGTTCAAAAGCATCTATCTTCCTTCTCTCAGCCTTCCCTATGGTCCAGCTCTCACATTCTTAGGTTTCTACGTGGAATACCATTGCTTTTACCAAGGGGGTCTCTTTGTTGCCAGTGTGATGTCTCCACTCTTCACTATTTTATTGAGATTGGACATTGCTCTCCTCCCAAGAAGTAAGTGTCTTCTGATTTCCTGGTTGCAGTCTGCATCTGCAGAAATCTTTGCACTTTGAAATACAAAGTCTGTCACTGCCTCCACGTTTTCTCCTTCTATTTGCCTGTTATCAATCAGTCCGGTTGCCATAACCTTGGTTTTTTTATGTTTAACTGCAACCCATCTTTTGCACTTTCTTCTTTCACCTTGATTAGATGGCTCCTCAGCTCCTCCTCACTTTCAGCCATCAAAGTGGTATCATCTGCATATCTAAGGTTGTTAATGTTTCTTCCAGCAATTTTAACCCCAGCCTTGGATTTGAATAAATAAATAAATAAATAAAGCAGTAAAAAGGGTCATTTTGGAGGCATAAAAGAAAAAGAAGGCCTTTAGCTGCTTACAGAAGAATAATTGGGTTGGGGTATGTGGGAATGACATAGGATTCAAGGGCTTTAGCAGAATCAACTATGAATCTTGATTATCATATGTGAATAACTGTCTACACAGAAATAAGCATCTTCAATGGGACTGATTCTCAGACAAGTATGCATTCTTACTAGAATTCAGTGAATTCTAGATAAGGCATGGGATGGGGTTTTCAGACTCAATAATAATGATGTTGAATATTGTAGATACAAACATTTCCTCATCTTTGTACAAGAAGCAACAAGATTCCCTGAATCTGATGGTTGATCAGTCATTCAAATCAATCAATCAATCAATCAATAACCCAGCTGGAATCCTGTTGATAATTTCCAGCAAAAGTATAGAGCTGCTGGTTTATTCACATTTAAGTTGATTTACTGGGTCTACTCTAGTTAGGGCAAACAACAGAATTCAGGCCAATCAGTGTATTTTATGCAATTTAATTTATGTAGCAATTTGTAGATTTTTTTTTGAGAGGGGGAATGTTTATCATTTTGATAGTTTTGTTGGCCAGAACTTTTACTTGCAATTGCATTTTATGCAAATTGCAATATTTACTGTAAGCACTGTGTTTTGTACAAATTGATACTATCTTTTTTGTATTTTATATTATATAAAATATACCACAGGTTTATTTAATATTTTATAATGGCCACATTTCTGATGACTGTTACACTATCTTTAGTCTCTAGATGGAAGATTTCCAAATCTTAAAGGGAAGTTACAGCATTTTGATATGCTGCTTTCTTCTTGGGGGCTTCCAACTATTTGAAAAATTAAGTAAGACAGGGTATATGGATAGTTGAGTAGTAGTACAGTGAAATAAAGGAAAGGCTGGGTGCATACTAGCCTGAAGAAAGGGCATTGAAATAAATAATAATGGTGGGAATACAACAGAAAGAGTAGATTTGTGGATAGAAAAAAATAAAGAACATCTGTGGAGATATGAGGAAGTACATGGGTGGGCAGGGAATTATAGATAAGGGGGGGGGGCACTGAGCTCCAATGGAGAATTAAGTAAAGTGCACGTGGGAAGAGTAGAGTTACTAGCATTTATAAATGAAAAAGGCGAGTGTTAATGCGTTTCTAAACTGTGTGAAACTGGAAACCTTTACTGGTTTATAAATACCAAATGAACAGCATTGTAGTACACTGACAGGTTTTGTCCTTGTTCCTGAGTTAGCATTCATAGAAGCTCATTTAGGATAAGAACTGCCAAGTAGGATAGGAAATTGGGTTTCAGTCTCATTAGGCTGAAGAAAATTGAGAGGAACGAATATATGATCAAACCATTGAGGAGAAAAAAATGTATGAAGTTTATTTCTGCACAGTCCAATATATGTCATTTGAATGCAAAGGAACATCATATTAACTTGAAGAGAAAGCACATTTTATTCCCCACACATTTCATCCATCCTTGCATTGGTAAAGCTACTGCCATGTAAACACTGACCTGTGAACAGATACCAGAGGTTGTTTGGCTCCAGTGTTTCTATCTCACCCCTTCGGGCTGTCTTTCTGTGTCGGATTTTATAGCCGGTGATAAATCCATTTTGCATACCTGTGGGTGGAGGTAGCCAACTCACTTTGATGCTCTGTAAAACAAATGATTTCAAGGTAGAATTTAACATTATTTTCTCATTTGTCTATTATATAATGATTACTTTCACATTTCTCTGTCCACTTATCAAGCCGTGCCTCAATCTTAAATATACATTTGATGAAGTAGACTAAACCTACAACAAAACAACAACAAAACTTTATTTATATACCACTCTATCTCTCCGAGGGGACTCACAGCATTTTCCAAGTGACATAATCAATGCATACAATGAGAACAGCATGAACATAAAATTAACAAGACAAAATAAGCATTAAAAACCACAATAGCACATATATTTAAAATAAACCTGCCTGTTCAAGGCAGTTTAAAAGTCCGGGTCAGGCTAGTGCGATTTTAGAGGGCTCAGGAAATTAGGTAGAGTCTATGGCTGTACATTTCCAGGGCCTAATAGTGAAAGTGACCTGGGTATTTGGTAGAAAAAGATATGGCCAATTTCTACAGTATCTGGGGCAGAGCTAGAACTAGTCGTTCTCAAAGGTTTGTTTAAACCACCAGGTCTTCAGGTTCTTACGAAAAGAGGGGAGGGATGGGGCCTGTCTTATTTCTCCAGGAAGGGCATTCCAGAGGTGGGGAGCCACCACCAAGAAGGCCCTCTCTCTCGTCCCCACCAACCATGCTTGTGACAGTGGTGGGAGCGAAAGGAGAGACTCCCCAGAAGATCTTAAAGTTCGTGCTGGTTCATAGAGGGAGATGCGATTGCAAAGATAGGCAGGGCCCGAACCGCTTAGGGCTTTGGCTCGGCAACTTATTGGCAGCCAGTGAAGCTATGAAGCTTCAGTGAAGTGAAGCTTAGTCTGCCAACTTCTTTCTTCCATCTTCAAAGTGAATTTATTTATTTATTTACTGTATTTTTACCCTGCTCTATCTCAACCCTGAAGGAGATTCAGAGCAGGTTTCAAATTGGCAATAATTCAATGCCTTGGAGATTGCATTGAGTACTGGCCTGCATAACAAAGGAAAGCCCTTGAGTTGAATCCATACCCAGTCATATCTAGAAAACACCTACTATTTCAAATTGAACCCAGCACAATTCAGTGTTCCTTCATTCATAAACAAAAGAAAATAAGATCTCTCCTATGGCTAGGCATCAGGAAGAAATGTCACATTCTGTCCTTATGAATGCAACAGTTTTATGTGTGAATTGAGCTTCTGTGCAATGAAAATTCAGTCACAGGAGCCTCTCTTGAACAAACTACAATGTCATTTTGCTCATTCTACCTTGCCGTCTCTTGTGCTGACACATTCTCCCAACAACAGTGAGGCAAATGTCAAGACCCAAGAACCCTAGAGATCTGATGTATGAAAATAGTGTTTGATGAAAGGTAGGACTTATGAGAGGCACCATCATTCCTGCTTCCAGAACACTGACCTAAGAAAATCCTAAAAGACTACATAGTGGTTCAGACAACAGCTTGGACCCAAACTTCACTCCATATTTTCCTTCCAAAACTTTGCTCTGTTAGGCCTCCTCCTCTACTTCCTGTCTTTCTTTGAATCTTTTCCACTTTTCCTTTTGAGGTCTGATTATATAATTCTCTCCAGGGGGAAAAAGAAGCAGCAGCAGCAATGAATAAATATGTTTTCACAGTCTTTTCATGGGCCTTTATTGAGAACAGATTGCTTAATCGTTTGCTTTTATTATCTGCAGTTTCTAGTTGCTGTTGTTCCTACTTTCTACTCCCTTTTTATCCACTCTTAACTTCAGAAATGTGGCTTGGAATGAGAAGAGATATGAAGGGGAGACTCCAAAGGCTACATAGGAAACCTTTATGGGCTGAATTCCACCTGGTGATCAGAGATCCCTGTTTATCTTCTCATTTTTTTGCACTAGATTTTAAATTTTTAAATTTTAAGACTTGTTTATGTTTAAATTGATAGCTTAACCTGAAATGTTTTATGCTATAGCTCTGTTTTTTATTACTTGCATCTTATTTTCACAGCTTTTTACAAGCGTAACCCAAAGTACTAACAAAAAGCAATACAGAAATATAACTACAATATGTCCCTATTGTTTTTCAGTATGTGACAAACAGTACTTACTTCTTTTTAATCTTCCTAGAATTCAACATGTGGTTTAATTTCATTGTCAGTAAGACTAAATATTGCTATGTAAGCCAACATAGTTTTGAGTTCTTTGGAGAGAGATTTCCTTTCAGCCCTGTCACTATTGCAGAGACATTTGGGGATCACGTGAGAGATGACCTTCTCAGTGGCTGCAAGAAGGCAAGACATTTAGTTCTGCAGGGTGTTTTCAATATGGTGCAACCTGCTTTTATGTCTTATCTTTTAAATTATGTTTTAAATGAACTTTACATTGTTTTAACTATGTGCTTTTAAACAGATTTGTTTGTTTAAAGGTTAATCAATCTATCAATTGTAAAAAGAAAATGTGACAGTTCTAGGTTTTGAGAATCCAGAAAGACTGGATTTTGGGAAGCTTCGTATGCTATTGTATCTTCCAATTCAATGATTCTATGTAGATGGTACAATAATTATATGAATTATAAATATGCATTTATAACCTCTCAAAATAAAGTTGTAAGTCTGTTCTCTTCCTTTCCTTTTTGTGTTCCATTCTTTATTTTTCCCTCTTTTCTTGATTAAGATGTTCCATTTTATTTTACTTCAAACATTTTAATGCAGATATTTGGAAACTAAATATCTGTTTGCTTAATTGTTTCCAACTTTTATAAAACACAATTTTCTTTGTTGCTTGTTTAAAATTGTTATGAGCCACTTGTGGTATAAATGAAATAAATGTGACACAGACATGGTGATTTTATTATTATTATTATTATTATTATTATTATTATTATTATTATTATTAACTTTATTCGTACCCCGCTAACATCTCCCGAAGGACTCGGTGCGGCTTACAAAGGCCAAGGCCCTCAATAAAACAACAGCATAACAAATACAACAGTAAAACTCATAAAGCAAACCAATAAACATTTAAGCAATAACAGTAAAACATCAAAAACAATAGATCATGACACATTTAAAACTAGGGCCAGGCCAAATGTAATGAATAAATTAAAAGTGCTGGACATGACAGGTGAAATGTAAGGATTTTAGGGTAGGTGCGATGTGCAGACAATCTTAAATCTCTGGTAAAGTGCGTTTGGGACATGATGCTGGGAGTTTCCTATTCTGGAAAGGCACACTGGAACAGCCAGATCTTCAAGCTCTTCCTAAAGACTGCCAACGTTGGGGCTTGTCTGATGTCCTTGGGGAGAGAGTTCCAGAGTTGGGGGCCACCACAGAGAAGGCCCTGTCCCTCGTCCCCACCAAATGCACTTGCGACGCAGGTGGGATCGTGAGCAGGGCCTCTCCAGATGAACGGAGGGATTGTGTGAGTTCATATACCGAACATAGGTTATACATAGGGTTGTGCAGCTTCTGGGCATCCACTGAATCCTTCCAAGCCTCAAAATCCTCTTGAACAAAATTCTGTCTTCGTCATTTTTGGAGGGGGTCGGATTGGACCACTATAAGGTATTTTTATCTCTAAATAGTAGTTAAATTCTTCTTGGCCAAAATGACAGCCACAATAGAGCATTATAGTCCTCCAGAGTTGTATGAGTGATCACAATGTTGCAGCTTCTAAATTGGCAATAATTCAATGCCACATTACAACATAAAACATATAAAATACAAATATATTATGTATTGAAACAATAAAAAACAATAACATATAATCTATTTAAATAAACTGCTAAAATTATATCACAACATAGTCTTCCAGTCTCTGTTCTACTGTAGTAAAATAGATTAAGGATAAAAGTCTACTGCACTGCAAAATAGCTACAATGGGGCATTGCTTGTAAATTCCCATCAATGGATACTGTTTTATTTACTTATTTTACAAACTGATGCATATAGGACAAACATGCAGTACTTTTACACTACCAAAATTAAAACAATTGTCTGGATACAAAGCAGATGTTGGATGCAAAAATATCTTCTTTATGGATGGAATTTTTCCCCTTTGAATCCAACTTCATAAGAATAAAATAATTATAAATTTTAAAAAAAAACCCTGAATAACAGCTAAAACAAATGAAACAAAACAAGGAAACAACAATGATACCAGAGATGTAAAAAATATCCACACATTTCTCACCCTTGATGAAAAAGAATATTTCAATGTGTCGGACAAACATGTCCATGAAACTTGTTGATTGCTTCAAGATATTTTTGCTAATCTCATTCTCAAAGTAAACAACTACTCGTTTTAACAGTTCTCTTCAAGATGCAAGAACATTTTTGAAAACATTGCATTACACAAAACATGTTCTGAACTTTTATAATTTATCTTTTCATCGATGGGACATGGAGAAAAGCCACTCCAATCTATCTCAGTTCTCAGGCAGTATTATATAAATAGAGGCACTCTTTCAAGTACTGAAATAATTTAGTGCTTTAAAAGTTATGAAAAACACTTTGAATTCAGACAGTAAGTGTATTTTAAAAATATATATTTTATTAAGTACATAATAGTACAATTGTGAATGGGTAATAGACAGCTATTGCATGTACACATTATAAATACTGGAGTATTTCTATATTATCTATTCAATATTCATCTCTTTTACAAAGTTATTCTTCTTTTCACATTTTTCTCCCTTCCTTCCTCTCCATCTCCAATTCACCTACCACATTTTCCTCTGTATCTTTATCTTTAACCATGAACACAATATTGTTAAACTTTGTGCAATATATATATATATATATATATATATATATATATAGGCTTTGCCATTCCATATAAATAAATGTGCATTAATTTTGTTGTTTCCAAGTGTTCCCATTAACAAAAAGTCCATATTTACCTGAATTAGTGTTTTAAATAGTTTCTCCATTTTCTTTACTATTTTTTCCAGAAAATTATTGCCTTTGGGCATTCCCACAACATGTGGGCATACCAACTTTTATTTGCTCTACAATGGCAACATGTTGAGCTTCTTCCCA